GGTGGTGATGACTAGCTTCCTTCCCTCTAGTCTTACACAGCTAAATTAGGGACAGCTAGCGCAGATAGCTCTCGTATAGCTTTGCGCGAAATTAAAAAACAAAACAAAAAAAATCTGTAAGATTGCTGTTATTTTCTATATCGAAATTTTTTACCTTGTCTCTAAACAAGAGATCAACATATTTTCTACAAACCTAGAGCAAATGTTCATCCGCAAGACCTAGCTACAAGTACCTTCTCTATCTATCAGTGAATCAGAGAATGTTCTGAGATAAGTTCAAAGTTGAGGAAGAATACACCGCTTTCTATAAGAGAGGATGTTTTGTGTATTGACACTATACAGATACATTGATGAATGTCATTATTACCTCTAACTCCCGGTTTAGACCATCTTGAGCCCCAAGCCATAGGGGAAAGAATCCCCTCTACATCACTCTAATAACTAATTTTTCTCTCCCATAAGAACAAGTGTTATAAAATTACAGATCAAATTTACATAATATGTCCATGATTGAGCGCCACTTGTTTTTTCATTTTCCAGTTTTTATCCCCCATGATATTAAAAAAAAACACAATTTCATATATATGATGATGTTATTCTAATATCTCAACTATACTCTACCCAACTTCGACAGACGTTTCAATACTTTTCACTAAATCTTACTGTTAAAACATGGTTTATGTTTCGTAACATATGTTATGTATTACAATTTCGAATGGTCTGAAACCGAGCTGAATGATAATTTAAATTTAGTAGTTAAATAATTGCCGATATATCTCCAATTCATGATATTTGCCAACAAGATTGATACACACAGTTTTCTTTTTTTAATACAAATATGTTTTAATATACACACAACAATACAATTTACAATAACAATTTTTACAAGTAGTTATTACAAACAATGATTAATATACAAAGTTTCACAAACATACAAGCAATATAAAGTCTTCTTTCCAGTCTGCAACTTCCTTGATATCTTATGGAGAGTTCACGATGAGCGATTTGATTACGAGTTGATGTAGGTACAATTCACTTAACAGGGAGCTAGCTAGTCCTGCAGTTCTCGCTGATCACACGGTGATTACAGGTCGAGTTTCCATCGATGACGTCGGGTAATATTTTTGTAAAAGTACTATGTCCGATGGGAATCCACTGGAGTTAAATGGTTTGTAATGTTCGAAATTTATAAATTTATAATTTAACTTTCCCGATTAATAAGCGTTAATCACAGTTATAGCTTACGAAGTTTATAGCCCACCAATTACAGCAACCCAATAATAGATACTAAAAGTAAACTGATCGCACAGGTCCCGCTGAAAGAAAGAAAAACTTCCGAAGACATCCCTCAACTCAGCAAGGGTCGCGTTCTTTCTCTTTGTTTTCACGTCTCCTCGCAGCTCTTCCCTTTGCTTGTGATTTCATCACTAGGAAAATTAATTATTTAACCTTCACTTATTTAAGCATTCAATTCTTACAAGCCCCTGCCACTTAATTCTAATTATGTAGTGGGGTGAAGAGAAACAGAAGTTTCTGACCTCCCCTAGTTATATTTCAAATATACTTTAACATAAACTCTACCATGCCGTCGTTGTCGTCCGAATTTTAAGTTTTACGTAACACTACTGACGTTAAAACTAGCGTTTACGTACACATATATATATTGTTGATTCTTACAATCGAGAATCTTCTACAACTTTAGAGAATAGGCGTTAGTTTCGCAATACATATTTAACAGTATAAGTTATAAGTTAATTAATATAAATTAATTTAAACAAACATCGAAATTAATATATATATATAATAATAAATCCGTTACACATATAAATAACAAAACTTTTAATTCTCTGGTCACGCTGTCAATACTTACAAGCGTAAAGTATATCTATATACAAGTTAAATGTAATGTTGGGATGTGGTAAGCATTAATTCGGATTGTTTGTTTTGTAAATTTCTTACGCAAAGCTCCACAAAGTTTATCTGCGAATAAGTGTTCCTTATTTTGAGTTGATTAAGTGCATGATAGGAAGCTAGTCAACAACATTCATTGCCAACACTCTCTTGGGCTATTCTTATCAGACTGAATAGTGGGATTTGATAGTCAGCCTTATATCTTAAATGCAGAGCGCGTTTTCTTGGCAACAATACACGATCCATGAACTCCTCGAATTTACAGTCTGGACACGCTATCACCAAGCAATACCTATTCCTTATCAGTATAGAAGAGAAGATATAGAGTCTAACTACCTTATATAAAGATTTCCAAAACATCAAGTGTTTTCAGAATGTGATAATCGAAAGAAATCATTCTTATATATCATTAAGACTGAAACCTACAAACGAATTCAATCTCCTGGACTCAAAACAAATCAATCTAATCAATCAAAAATTGTTGTGAACTGAACTTCCGCTTAACAAATGATTATGTTTTGTACATAGACTATAGAGCTAACTCCGCTATGGTCAAGCTGACTAGATGTGGGTTACAATATGTCAGAGTAAGTAACAAACTGATAAGGTATCCCATACTATCTTATCATCTTATGTAAAATTTTCATCATCATCATCTTCATTGGGATTCGGTCCGTGTTTTGGAACAGGGAGGGTCAGGTTCAGCGTAGACCTTTAAAAATTGCAATACCCTCGCCCTGTGCAATAAATCAACGTCATTCGGCTGTCAGTTTCTGTTAAGTCTAGAAGTTTAATAACTTTTTTATTTCTAATTTCAATCTGAAATTTGCAGAACCCACCATTACTAATTAAAAACAAAAAACTCATATACGATAAAATACGAATACTTGAATGTTTTCGGCTGAAAACATTCATAAATTACCGAACCATGTAGCTTATCAAAATTGTAATTATATCCAACACACACTACGTTGCTCAGCGTAAATTTCATAGAAAACAGCAGGTTTACTAATCACTGCAACATGTTTCAGACCATAATAATGCTTTAGCAAAGTTGAACACTAATTTACATTCCTGGATGTTTAATTAGAATAGTTCATTTTAATTAAGTTTGTCTGTAATTATATACAGCAGTAGAAGGTAGTTTGTTCTGTATAAAGAGACATACCATAGATACATTCTCATAAGCAGAATGTGTATGTATTTTGTGTTATTCATTGCAGTGGTAAGTCAGTTTCCACTTCAAACTTACATCTTAAGATTTCTCAAGAATCTGAAACTTCATTGTAAGAAATTTTCATTCACCATTTGGACTGTCATGAAAACCTAAAATTCTAATTATGCCCAGAAATGGAAAATCACTAATAATCTATATTTGGTAACTACATCCTTAATAACGGTCCAATTCCATAACTTTTTCGATATATGATATAAAGAGAGCTTATGGTAACATTAAGAGTCAAAGAATCTGTGGTTGAAATATATTACCTTAGAAACAACCTATATTTATAACTCTGCCTAACAAATGCGTATTTACTTTGCTATTGAAAAGAAAAGCATAATGTATTTGATATTTTTGTTCTTTTGCAAATTTAAAAGATTGATTATATATATTTTTATCCAATGAATTATTAGCAGTCATTAACTGTTGTATGATTTCGGAATAAGAAAATGAGGAATGAGTAGAAGGTTTTTATTATTTTATATCATAAACCTGAAATATTTTACTGAGCAGAAGTTAGATATCAATGGTAGTATTAAATTAATAAATAATGATTTTAATGCAAAACAAAATACTGTCTTGACTTGGTAACATGTGAATACAGTTTTCTAAATTATGAATAAAATCCATCCCATGTGTAGCAATTAGTGTAGTCAAGTCCGCTTATAAGTTTTATTCTGAGGTCGCATATTTGGACTCTTTTGTAATAGCTGACTTTAACACACAGTGGTTTCGGTGATTGCCTGGGTCAATGAACAGCCCTTATCATTACAATTTTAGAATCATACTATCCACACTCCCGTTCAATTAAAAAATATACCCATAAATCGCAAACTTTTTGGTCCGTCCATTTAACACGTTATGTATTCCTGATTAAACCGCGCAAATCGCCATTTTGAGGGTAAACCATAAAAGAACAATTTTGAAAGTCGGCGGTATTTATTTTGGTCTTGTTTTAATTGGCAGTGCCGCTTGTTTTGCCCTTATTTTGAACGGCAGTGCCACTTATTTTTCTCGCGAGACTTGGCAACACTGGTAGCAATGACACTAAGTAAACCAACTTATGGCGCAACTACATCTATGTTCAATAAAGATTAATATTAAGCACATATTGGCAGCCAATATATCATACTGTATAACAAAAAACACTTTATCAAGAAGTTAGTTTTATTCTATGTCCTAAGCGACATGTTATCAAAATGTATAATTCTGAGAGAGAGAAATTACGCCTCAATCTTAAAAGATATTTTTCCACAAATTTGATTACAGACGAAAATTAATTCAAAACATTTTAAATCTTTCAATGATGATTTTGTAACAGAATGTGAAAAGTCCGAGCGTGACTTGGTGATGAACTTATCGGACTTGGAGAATTGATACTACCAAATACGATTCGCACTTTCAGTTGTAAGCGCGTTATAAGTGTGGTATTCAATCCCACTAATCAATTAAGAGTAACCACTTAAGGAGGCGGTTAATGCCGACAGGTTACCTTCTCTTTGCTCCTGAGCTCAAACTTAGCGATATTTATGCCTGGACCATTGGGGTCTTTCATATGTCCGTTTAGGCCATTTTGTGCATAAAGTGAAAAAATAAAACATGAATCTGAGAAAAGAAACATTGAACCACACACACACTTACACCGTTATAAAAGAAACATTGAACCACACACACACCTACACCGTTATAAAAGAAACATTGAACCACACACACACCTACACCGTTATAAAAGAAACATTGAAAACCACACACACACCTACACCGTTATAAAAGAAACATTGAACCACAAACACACCTACACCGTTATAAAAGAAATAATTTCAAAGGTACTATGGTCTATAAATATATTTTTTTCCTTCATTCATAGAGAAACTTACCAGCGCATAGAACTTCATCATGAACTGTGTCGTCTTTTCTCTCATCTTTGGAGTTCTTATCCTAGTTGACTCAGTGATGGCTACGCCTTACGACCTCAATGGTAAATGCATAACACATTCTATATATGTAAATATTGTGATTGTTATAACAGTTATCTATCTAAATACTAATACATCTTACGGTAAATATAGATACCCATCGAATTAATTTCTCTGTATTATTCATTTGTATCAAAAGATTTGTCTTTCTATCCGTATTATATCAGAAGTTTTTTCAATAAAAACGTTTTCTCTGTTTCATATCAGAAGACAACAAGTTGGAAGAATACAGAGAACGACTTCAAGAAGTTCTACCTTATGCAGAAAAGTAAGGTCCTCGCATAACCGTCATAAGTATGATTTTGTATCATAAATCACAGTTGTCTTATAACCAACAACTAAATAATATCCTATAGTAAATATTAGCGGAGATATGGAAGAATAAAGATTCATCTTAAATGTTTAAACTTTTATCACCATTCTAAACGTTTTACAACTGCGGCATCTTTCAGTTTACTCTTCTAGCCTGTCTTTTTGCAGATTAACATTGTATTATATATATTGTGTGGTTTGGAATTATGCTTTTAAATAACTATAGCATAAATGGACACTATAAACTGTACAGGAGAGAGATAGATCACAGCTAGGTATTATAAACTGTACAGGAGCTAGATCACAGCTGGACGTTATTAATTGTACAAACTCCAGATCACAGCTGAGCATTATAAACTGTACAGGAGCTAGATCACAGCTGGACGTTGTTAACTGTACAAACTCCAGATCACAGCTGAGCATTATTAGCTGTTCAGGAGCTAGCTCATATCTAGGCATTATCAACTATACAGAAAAGAAAAGAATTATGCTTTCGTATTTATTAAAGTTTTTGAATTTCAAAGCGAGACTTAGAGATTCATGGCGTGGCTTTTATTCATATGGTCTTGTTTTTCAATGGAGGTGATGTTATTTGTTGTGTCTGTGATGGTAAATCACGTTGGCTTGATGGTATAAACTACTCACTGTGTTAGGCTATCACTACTGCTGTTGTAGCAAGCGTGTTATAAAGTACGAAATGTGCCAACTATGACATTTACATTAGTAACTTTTCGATTGTACTTTTCAAATGATAAAAGAATATGGTCTTCAGGCAAACTCAAGTTACTTCACAATTCTTTTGTAATTGACAAAGATTTCTAGACAACTTGTATGTTAAAAACAAACAAATTTTACATGCTTAGGGTTACCACAAGGTTACGACAATGATACCTAAAGAAACACTTAAAGAACATTGACCTCGCTTAAAGCAACTTAGTGATAACGATTTTGGTATGATAGCTTCAATCTATTATACAGTAAGAACTGGAAAGAAAATTAAAATATCATTTAACTATTTTGCTTAGGAGAAGCTGCATTCCCCGTAGCGGAAGCTGTGACAACCGACCTTACTCCTGCTGTGGGGGCTCTTCTTGTCGATGTAATCTCTGGGGCACTAACTGTCGCTGTCAGAGACAAGGCCTCTTCCAAGGATGGGGCAAATAATATGGCTGCTTTCTAAAGTCGCTGTAACCTTACGTTGTCGATACAGTAATACGTGTTCTTTGTTTGTTTAATTAATAATAGCTTGTATCTATTGAAAGTTTATCGTCGTTTTCAAAGTATGATAATATATAGTTATTGCTTAGCTTTTAATATTATATATTTGTTCATGTTCATTATATATATATATTTTTTTGCTTTTGTCAATGAAGTAGACTTTATTTTACGAACTATGTATATCAAACGTTATAATAACAAAGAAACAACTTGAGTCGATTATGGCATAGGTAATTAAACAGTTCAATTTAATAACATACAAGTCACTTGCAAATTCGTCATTCTTGTTCTAAAACACAAATCATTAGTTTCCAGAAGGGCATGTACTGTTCAACTGTCTGTTGTGACAGCACAGATAATGAGAATGTTGTCGAATGTATTCAAGAAAATATGTGTTAGTTTTTTATATAAAGCACTTTTGAAAATGACTCTCCCAGCTTTTTAGTTGGCGAAATTTAAAGGTTTTATTTGAATATTATGTTGCTGGATCAATATCGCATAATTTTCTATGGAATCTACTTATAATTCTGTTTCTTCATAAATCTAATTAGAAAATTCTGTATTTGGTATATATCAAAGAAAAATACAAACCTGGTCGAATTTTGTTTTTCAAACAACTGGTAGAACTGTGAAGAGATATACTTCGAACGTTATCGAAAGTAGATATAGTGAAGTAACTGGAAGAAAATATTAAATTAACAACTTGGATGACATAAGCGTCAAGTTTATTGGTTGTAAGAAATATATAAATACATTACGTTTTACCAGGTTGACCTGACAACATCAGGTGGTTAATATACAGTGCCATCTAAGTTGTTAATATATTATCAAAAATAGTTTAAAAACAAGTGACACCGACTCGGAGAGACCTCTTACTATGTTTTCACAAAACTCAAAGGACAACAATGTTAGTGTTAGATACAAGCGCAGTCAAATGTTGTTCCAGGGTGAGGAGTAGGAATTTTTGTTTGTCTAGTTTACCAGTGAGACCGAGATTATTAACCATAGTGGAAAGTGGTGTACGTACGAGGTCTCATGTATGATAAGTAACACACTGTGCGATTGATCATAGGTGTAGGCCTAGTACCCGCTCATACTCGATGGCACGCTTGGTATGCAGCAATTTACGCGACTGAACACAGCTAACTAGACCTAGGAGATGCACAACGACAGCTGTTTGTAATTAAGCAAACTTTGACTGAATCCAAACAAGTGAGCCGCAACCTTACAAGTATTTGTCAAATGTAGCGCTAATAAGAATGACAAATTAAAAACCGTGCTTTAATTTTGTTCAAAGAAACGGAGTTTATATAACTCTCGAGGCAGCCGATAGATGATGTATATTGTGAAAACTTATTTATTTATTTAACAAACAGATTTGAAGGCTTGAGTTTCTATCCCTATATTCGTTTTATATTTGATTTTGATATATAAAACATTATTATTGTGAACCTACAATATAGTATTAATTTTTAAACTGCATGACTATAATAATAGGTTCATGACATAAGCCCGTTTACTACACGTTGAGAGCGAATTATACGGGTAAAAATGTTTATTTTATTTTTGCTATTTTTCTGAAAATCAACTGTTCGCGATACACAGAAACGTTAACTTCAAAATACGACGAACATTTCACCACCAGTCTTCCGGACAAATGCTTTATATTTTTATATTTATGACCTCGTATGTACAATTAAGGTGTTTTATCGTAAATGTTTAATGATTAGTTTTAGCGTTCATCATACATTATAGTTTATTATTCTAGAATATGGCTGGTTTTCAGTGAAATTTTATTTAATGTTTGCACTGCATTTTTATCTTTTGGCCTCGTTGTATACATGAGCTACTAATAATAAATTCACATGGATGTATGCAGCATAAAATATGTGTTGTTTTTTGTATCAAACGTTCAAAGAAATATAACATAAGTTTCATATAATCCTAGATTCTTATTCAAACCATAAAAATAGAAAAGAAACATCTTTATTTTATTTTTGGTAACAACTTTTTAATACGTTTAAATATCAGAAATATAACAAAATATCTGAAGATATAAAGAAAGTATCTCCGCTCTGGTGTCATGAGTTTACTGTTCCTAATGGCCGGCGCTTCGAAGCAACATCAAAAATTTATTGTTTTTATTTTTAAAAATAAATTTTATTATAGTACCCACCATTTTGATTTACGCCTTTTTTTTAGTTAAATGTTCATGTAATAAAGTGGCTTAAACGCACGTTTTTATATGTGTTACGCGAAAAATTTCTTTCAAAAATTTACAAATCACGGAACGAAAATGTAAAGCGCCGTATATCGTTATCCGTGTAAATGTTTCAAATTGCGAAATATCTTTCCATGGAGAAAAAAAATATGGTTAAAAACACTTCTTAAAGTTTTGTAAAGAGTCGATTGAAACGATTAATAATTGAATAATCAAACGATGATAGATAAATGTAATGAATATCTTCAGAATGTATATGAAGATTTAAATTTGTTTATGGTAAATCAAAAAAGACAGTTCTGGGCACTATCAGTCAATTATGACACTATCAGTTTTAACATGTAAAATCTAAAATTGTGTGTGTGCCGTTTTTTTGCTTTACTTTAACCAAGAAGTAAAAAACAAGATACCTACTATTCTGTCTACAATTTTACATTTGATAAAACCTGTTTTATCATGTTTACAAGACATAGACATATTACATACTGTTTCCGTTCTCAGTTGTAGCTAGTGTGCCAATGTTAGTTCAACTGACGTAATATACGAGAGGTCTCGGGTTCGATTTTGGGCCATAGTGATTACCACATTCACAGAAGTTAAACAGCTTCATTAATATATAAATAAACATATTCTTCTCCCATGTTCTTAGTTAATTCAATTCTTTCATACACTTTAAAAATACCTGCTTCAAAAATTATATTCTCTCCGTGGTGTTCAAGAAAAGAAATGCAAGCCCAGTTATCAAGGTGAGAAGGGAAAATCTGATCATCTCAAACTACTTCATAATTAGATTGTATTTTGTACATGTTGTATTTCGGTGTGACCGGTCTCTTACCGAACTAACCTAGGTAATCTTTTACCGCACATTCTGAATCAAACTTTTTCGTATGTATCCATTAAAATCAACTGAAAGTTAAGAAACTACCAAAATTTTAAAAACAAGCATAATGTAGTGGAAATAATATTCATACCGAATTTATAGTAACACTGCGATGTTTTTTGTTTTTGTTTTTAAAAGCTAAATCTGTATAAAAGTAAAGGAAGTTTATAATTTTAAACTATAATAGCGGAAATTGTGTTCATAACATTCCTATTACACGGTAAAGTAGGATAGCAGTATTCTCAGACATATGATCTACATATATCTTTATAGTTAACTGCTTTTCGTAATCCAAGCCAAGCTTAATTAATCTGAATTGTTGTAATGGACGCATCTAACATATTTCTTTGTTAGCCTGAACTATTGTAATGGACACATCTAATACATTGGTTTAGTTATCCTGAATTGTTGTAATGGACACATAGTTAGCCTGAATTGTCGTAATGGGCACATGTAACACATTCTCTTAATTAAGCCGAATTGTTGTAATGTACGCATCTAACATATTCCTTTGTTAGCCTGAATTGTTATAATTAATGGCCACATCTAACACATTCGCTTAGTTATCGTGACTGTTGTAATAGACACATCTAACACATTCGTTTAGTTAACCTGAACTGCTTGTAATGGACGCATCTAACATATTCCTTTGTTAGCCTGAATTGTTATAATTAATGGACACATCTAACACATTCGTTTAGTTAACCTGAACTGTTGTAATGGACGCATCTAACATATTCCTTTGTTAGCCTGAATTGTTATAATTAATGGCCACATCTAACACACTCGCTTAGTTAACCTGAATTATTGTAATGGATACTTTTGTTTTTGCTTGTTTTTTGTTGAATTTCGTGAAAAACTTCTCGAGGGCTGTCTGCGTTAGAAATGATAGACAAGAGGGAAGGCAGCTAATCAACACCACCCCATTGTCATCTCTTGGATTAGTCTTCACCAACGAATAGTGGGATTGGCCGTCACATTATAACGCCTCTACGCCGGAAAGAACGAATATATTCGATGACCAACAGATTGCGAACCGAACGCCCTAACCATCAAATCATACCTGGCCTGCAATGGGTATTTGTAACGCATGAGCTTAATTAACCTGAATTATTGTATTAGATACACGTAACATATTCTTAATCTTTCAGAATTCGATATTTTTATAAAGATATATTTCTGGCCAGAAGTTTAACTGTTTAGTGGATAATACTATGGGGGTAAATATGAATAAATTCAGCTTTTTTGGAAACAATCATTAATGACTCGAAGCTAAACATAATGATGAAAATCCAAGAAATACTTTTCAGACCACAGTTCGCAGTAATAATAAAAAAAATCAACCCTGGAGTCTAAAGATGTTGACTTTGTAGCACACCAACGAATGACTGTTGCATTCTCATTTACAACTCTCAACCGATACACACAAACTTACACAATGGTGAAATTACTTAGAAAACATACAAAGAAAGTTGTTTAATCTATGATTTTGCTTGCAGAACTTATTCTGGGAAAAAAATAATAATGAGAATAAAGCATAAGCATAAGACATGTAAATATAATTGTGATCTGAACTACCTATGGGACAAAGTAATTTATATTTATTTCATGTAATGCGACGTAGTTATTTAAAATTATTTGAGCTCCACCCTTCATTACACTTTTTTTTCCAAGCAGTAAAACAAATTGATAGTTAATGATACACGTTTTGTTTTATTATTATATTTATTAAGGTTATTGTTTTACCTCAGATAAAATCGACTTGTATTACCCCGCTTATGTCATAAATAGTATGTGTAGCTTTGCTTAGTTCAGATATTATCTCAGCGTATTTTCATACGTGTAGAGCCTGGCATTGCCTGGTCGTTAGGATGATCGACTCGCAATTTGCGGGTCGCAGGTTCTAATCCCGTCATTGAATATGCTCTCCCTTTCAGCCATGGGGCCGTTATACTATGATGGTCAATCCCACTTTTCATTGGTAATAGTAGCCCAAGAGATGGCGGTGGGTGGTGTTGACTAGCTGCCTTCCCTCTAATCTATCACTTCTAAATTAAGAACGTCTCGAATAGCTTTCCCCGAAATTCCACAACAACATAAAACAAACTATGTGTAGAGTTATCGTACTTGCACGGTAAACTGTAACTTCATCATATGACTTCACCTTAACACAATATCATTAACTGTAGCTTCAATACGTTAATCCCAGCACAGTCAACACCAATCTTTAAATTGTCTGGAACTGCGGCCCAATTTTACATGTGCAACAGGCTAAAAACTTAGATAGGAGCGGAAAAACAGAATTCTGTTGATTTAAGGACACCCTTAGATTAATAATCACTTGACTTTACATAAATTATTAATTGTTCTGCATCTTCAATCCTATTCATGGCACAAAGATTACCAACGTTTAGAGTGACATTAGTTTGTCTCCAAGTGGTGATCATACTTAATGTATTTTTCGGTATTTTCGACTTTGTTGTTTGAATGTGCTGCCACCTAACGCATGTTAGTTATAATCACACTAAAGCCAAGTAAATTCGATAGTTGCAAGTACATGCTCTCTTACTTAAAGCTGTTAGTGGTTATTTTACACACTTACAACGCTAAAATACGAGGTTCGATTCCCCGCGTTGATCAGAGCGTACATAACCATTGTGCAGGTTTGTACTTTAACAGAAGTACTTAAAAGCTAAACCTTTTGAACAAAACAATCGGTATTTAAACCCCATTCTCATTTATACCAGTGAATATATTCTACCTAAAAACATAGTTTAGTTTACTTTATCACAGTAAAATGCCTTTGTGTTTGGTAAGACTACCACCACAGCTGATACGCCGAGCAAGCAAATAATTGTTGAGTCAATAAGGAGTACAGTCGAAATTTATCTGCATATTAAGTACTATAGTATATTTTGCATAATATTTATGTTGTTAACATTTTTATCTGTTTTTTTTTTTCCTGTGGCCAACTGCAACTTAACTCTTTAAGCGTGATTCGTTAAAAGATTGTAGTTGTTTTTTTAAAATGACAATACGTTCCTCAATTGCTAGAAAAAAATGGGCTGTGGTACGTGCGTACGCTTCAATGGATAGACGCTAAGTACATGGAGAACAAATTTAGAAAAACAAACAAAAACAGTGCAATTATACCTGAATAAAGCTATATTCTACGTTTGTTTGTTTTTGAAATTCGCGCAAAGCTACACGAGTGCTATCTGCGTTAGCCGTCCCTAATTTAGCAGTGTAAGACTAGAGGGAAGGCAGCTAGTCATCGCCACCCACCGCCAACTCTTGGGCTACTCTTTTACCAATGAATAGTGGGATTGACCTTCGCCCTTTCAGCCGTGGGGGCGTTATAATGTGACCATGTTTTGGAGTGACGGGGATTCGAACCCGCGACCTTCAGATTGTGAGTCGAGCTCCCTAACCACCTGGCCATGCCGGGCCGAGACGGTTTGTGTTTGTCCGTGACGAACATTTTCCAACATCCTGACGTCCTCTGGCCATCATGAAACTTTCAGAAGTTTTTCGGTATATTCCAGACGTTTGTTTTTCGGTATATTCCAGACGTATTCCAAAACCCCTTACTTTAATCTCTGTTTTTTACTATTTTGATACTCATATCAATTTCTCCCTTGTTATCGCTTATTATTGACGAATGACACACACGCACGCTGTCCCGCCATCCACGTGAAGCCAGCAAAATATATGTAACTTCTGGCGCGGATAACTTTGCTAGTTATACTTAATGGAAGAAAAATGAGCTATCCAACTTTTTCGAT